GTCTTTTTGAGTCATGGTTTCCCTGTAGCCCCAGCTGTCCTGGCACTCACTATGTAGACCAAGCTGGCCTTGAACTCACAGAGATCCGCCTGCCTCTGCCTCCCGAGTGCTGGGATTTAAGTCGTGTGCCACCACGCTGGGCCCATCATTGGAAGTTTTTATAATCAGCTTCCTGGTTTAATACATTCCAGGATAGGTACCATTTGTCAACTGCTAAGTGCTCATCTCTCTGAAGTGATCAAGGACCTCAGTTTCACAACCTGAGGACTATACTTGTTCCACTTACTCTTGTATGACTGCAGACACTCTTTATTTACTGGCTGATCCCTTCTGCCTGCTGTTCCCCTCAACAGCCTGGACAGTCACTAGCTCACTCAGCACATACAAGACAAGAGACTATACTTCATGATCAAAATAAAAATAGAGAAATTTCAAAAAGCTAGTGCTGGCTCCCAAAAGACTGTGTGCAGGACCATGTGAGAAACTTTATCACACAGGATGAATATTTTCCCAACCTTAGGTGCTTCTATATTGATCTCAAAATTGTTAACTTGGCAAGTAAGAAAGAAAATAATTGGAGAGGCAAGATGGTGGCCACAGGGCTGTGTGTGCCAGAGCAGTAGTGGCAGGTCTAGTACAATGACTTAAAATATGACTCTGGTAATAAGACATCACATAGCTTGTTAACCCTGGCCATAGGGAAAGATACAAAAAGAGCAGTCAGCAAGAAAGCCAACTGGCCCCTCCACCATGAAAGCTTAAATACTTAGTAGTCCTGGCCTGGCCACTCAGGCCCTAAGGGAGCCATGCCCCAGTGCTTGGGTCCCAAGAGCTCTGGTGGAAGGGCCAAGCAGCAGGTGTAGTCAGAAGGTGGCTGTGAGCTCCCCACAGTGCAGCACCCCTGTAGATCTCTACTTTACTTGGGTCCATCTGTGTGTAATTACAGATCATTGATATCCTAATAAGATATGACTTCTCTAGCACCCAGTTCAGACGCGTTGTGTAAGGTGGATGGGGCTTTTCATTTGCTAAACAGAGGACATGAAGCCAGGGGAGGAGAGGGTAAGGTGAAGATAGAGATGGGAGAGGAGGTTTTGAATATGATCAAAAGACATTTCATGAAATTTTTGAATCAATAAAAAAATGAAAAAAGAGACAAATGATCACTCATTAGAATGAATTTTGTGGAAAGTCTTATATTTCAGTAAAAACCTAAACAGCCTGATCATCTACTAAAATTTTAAACAATTAATTATGTTAAATGTACTAAGTGCTTTGAGGCACCTAAAAGTAAAATTCTAGAAATTGGCACTTGCATGGATAAAAATAAGGAATAATAACGTAATTCAATTGCTGCTTTTTCTGGTAGAAATTAATGACACCACAGAGCTATCTTTTTAAATAAATTAACTACTAGTCACATGTAAGTATTAGTATAAAAATGCAAAATTTAGATAAAATTAAAGATTCAGCTCTTAAGAATTCAGCAAGAGCTGCCCCATTTGAAGTGCTGAGCAGTCACACAAGCTAGGGCCACTGAACAGAAAGCACACATACAGAACACTTCCTTCAGCACACAGTCTTTTCAGACAGCACTGCTAGGAAAGAGGAAACATTCAAACAAATTATCAGAGAAGACACTGCAATAATCTATTAGTGTTGGCACCAACAACATTCACCAGCACATGGAGCCATCATCACAAAAATGACATTATATATTCTATACTCATTGTTGAAATTTAAAGCTATAGAAGGATTTTTAAAATTTTACATACACAAATTGGGTTAGACAGATTCTATTATAGTCTATCCCTAGTACCTGTACCACAGCTACTTATATGGGGAGCACAAAAATGCTGAATGAATGAATACAATCTAAAGTGAATAACACTTGTTCAGAAGGACATATTTTAAAAGCCGAATAAAATTGCATGTTGTGATAACTCTAGCTATATCACATCACTGATATTACAGAGTGATCAGGATTAATCATAATTTCAGTTACTATTTGACATATTTTCATCATAACATGAGATTTTATTACACTGCCATCAATAATCTGTCCATAAATTGTAACTTTGCAGAAAAATGCCCTTCAATTCAAATATAACACTGTAGCTCCTACTGAAAAGTTTTGATGGCTAATGCAATAAATAAGCATTTCTTCTCATGGGAGGCAGTAGAAGACAAAGTGCTAGAAGACGTCAAAGTGAGAAAGATGAGAAACTAAAGTCTATTAAGTTTTCTTAAGAGCTGAGCATACATTTATGTGCCAAGGTAAATTAAGACAGAAGAACTACATTCGCATCAAGGTATGAATGATTGCTTTCACCAATTTTAGAAGAGAAGGAAGGGAATGTTCCAACATGCTGTCCTGCCACTTCTGATGAAAGAGACCATGGTAAATCTTTAACTTACAGGGAATTACCATACTTTATTTACTAAAACTTGTCAATAATTACAAAGAAGACAAGATCCTGACACATGTTAGCATTGTCTTATAGGGAAAAGGAAAATGGTTCTTGATAAATGATTCTGTATATGCCAGTACATAGAAATCTCAAGCTTGGCCATCTTTGGAGCCTTACTGTAGTCATCATTGTGGTAATGCCATTAACCAGATTATAAATGACTCCATGATATGAGTTCTTTCAAATCAAATTTGAATTGAATGACATGGAAGAAAGAATGCTTCTTGGGATCATTTGGTAAATTTTCACTTGTGTGATACATTCATTCACCCATGGAGGTCAGAGGTAGATATCAGACTGTGAGGTGTCTTTTATTGTTCTTCACTTTGTGTTTTGAGACAGGGTTTCCTCCTAGACCTAGTCTTTACAAGACTGATTGGACAGTTAGACCCAGAATCCTCCTGTCTCCACCTCCTACCAGTAGTACTAGGGTTTAGGTATGTACTGCCTTGCCAAGCTTTTTACATGAGAGCTTAGGTCAGAACTCATGTCCTTGTGCTTGAATAGCAAGTACTTTACTGTGGAGCTATCTTCTACTATATATATATTTGTCTTGCTACAGTCAAAAAACACTGGAAATAATCAATTATGACTGGAACCTCAAAAATGATAAGCCAAAATAAAGCATCTTTTTTCTTCTTTAAAAATATTTTATTATCATTATTTTTTATGTGTATGAGTATATTGCCTACATGTATGCAAGTGCACCTGTGTCATGCTGTGCCTACAGAGGTCAGAAGGGGGTGTCAGATCCCTTGGAACTGGAGTTATAAACAGTTGTTAGCCACTGTGTAGGTGCTGAGAATGAAACCTGGGTCTTGTGCAAGAGCAGCCAGTGATCATAATTGCTAAGTTATCTCTAGCCCTAAAGCATCTTTATAATTACTGCTTCTGATAATTAGTCTATCAGTTAATTACTATTATCATGATGGGAATCAGACTAATGCACTGACATATAAGTCACTTATTAATATTTCTGCTTAAGTTCAGAATATATTCACTTCTAAGTGCATTCCATAACTGAGAACAACTTACAATGTGGTATGGCTTGGATCTGTTAAACACTGAGTCCTCAGCTGTTGCTGATGCTGGAAGCAGGCCTTGAAGGCCTCTGCTTCTGACCCAATTCTGCTTTCTTATTGACTGCCACTCACACTCCTGCATCTATGAGCTTCCTTACCATAGGGACCAAAAATAGAAGCCAAAACCAAATCTTTCCTCCCTTAAGGTTCTGCTTTTAAATAATGTGCAAGAGTAATGAGTAATACAATAAACACAGAAATTTAGACCTAAGAAGGAGAGTCATTGGTGTGAGCTCCTTGAACATGTGGCTCTTAGGCCTTTGAAGAGTTTGGTGCTATGGGCTAGAGAAGTTCTAGAATACTGCAGGTAGAGTTTAATGGATGGCTCTTGGAAGACCACATGTAAATACAGAGTCAGGGAGTAAGAACTGTATTCAAGAAGTTTCAGAGGAGAATAAAGATTCCATCACAAACTGAGTTAGAGTCAATCCTGTTATATTCTGGCAAAGCTCTGTCCATGTCTTAAAATTTGGAGGATGAATTCAAACGTAATATACTTATTTTTAGGGCAGAGGAAATTTTAAAAGCACATATAATGTAAAATGTGGCATGGTTACTGTTTTTTGCTTTTAGCCAAATTTAAAGTGATAATTCAGAGCAAAACACATCACAAAAATGTGAAAAAATGATCCCTAGCCCCAATTTGCCTGAGATTCTGGGGACTAGCCTTTTTCCCCAGTATGTCTGATCCTGCCCATTGGGCCTTGACTCCCCAACAATCTAAGGAAATTCAATCTCCCCCACCCCATGTCCTGTTCTCCTTCTAGCCTTGGGCACAGTCCTGCTTTTGCTCTTAACATCCCAGATCTCTGGACTACCTTTTTAGTTGAGACCCACCCACTGCATCCTAATCCCCTGCATTCAGACCTGCTCAAATTTTCAGTCTAGTTTCTTAGAAC